CACAGTTAAAGGAATATTCTGTAGCATAAACAAACATAACACATCTCAGCCTAGCTAAGACAATATCCCAGAACGTTTTTCTCTCTAGGTTCTCATTTCTCCAGTGATTTTAAAGAGTGTCTAGGTTTCGTCTTGATTGCAAATCCCAAGACAGTAACCTACATCAGTTAAAGGGGACGATTTGGAACTGGATATAAGTGGGTCTCTAATCATAGCTCTTTTACTTAATTTGGGTCAATGTCAGCAAGTTATACAACCTTTAAAGCCTCATACTTCTGATTGGACAAAATAATGATACCTTCTTTGTTACATTGTGACTGTATCACACCATGAGCCTTTAGTGATGGCTTCATTTCCAGTGATTTCTGCTCACTGACGGGACTTTTCTTCAGCTTTCCATGTTTCACTTCTTCCAACCCAACATAGTTACTTTGATTCTAGTTCTCCTCTCAGGATGATATAATCTAAAGACGGCCTTTGTATTGTGGAAAAGAGAAAGACCTTTGCTTATCTGAAAATCCTTTGCACCAAGAAGTGCTTTTGGTGATGGGTCTACCCTGGTGAGACAGACAGGCCATGCCTCTGCAGCTGCAGACTGCTGTGCTGAGGCTGATTCCAGCTGTGCTTTGGGCCCTAAAATCTTAGTGACTTGTCCCTTCATTTCCCTTTTCAGTTTTGTCTCAAGAAGCCTATGTGCATTCTTCCTGAGATTCTCCTCTTCTTTTTCCTGGAAATTTGTTCTAACACCCATCTCTTAATCTCCACATCTCCAATCACCATATTTGTTCAATCATTATTTCTTGGAACAACATTTTCTCTCTGTATGTGCATATACTTTTTAAAGGCAGAGGGGTTGGTTGGTGTACACCCCTTTTGTCCCAGTACTCAGGAAGCAGAAGCAGGTAGAGCTCTGTGAGTTCGAGGCCAGCCTGACCTATAGAGTGAGTTCCAGGATAGCTAAGGTGACACAGAGAAACCCTGTCTCAAAAAAAAAAAAAATAAGCAAAACACGAATGCTTCATGTTCATGTGTTTTTAGCTCCATTCACACCCACGAGATATTAAAATGGTTCCTTCCTGATTGTGACTGACTACATTCCTCTGTTAAATATTCCTTTCCTTGAAACTGGAAGCACAACTCCCAACCATGTCTTCCATGACTCTACTTTTACCCACGCAGCTCTCGGCTGTTAGTCATACTCTGGTGTCCACCTTTGCTTTGAATTTAAATTCCTGAGTGTTTATCCCGAGCACTCCAGAGAAGACGATGTGATCTGCAGAAAGTCCTATAGGCTCCACTTTCCGTTGCCTTCCCTGAAACAAGAGCACAGTTCTCTGGCGTTCTTACCTACTCCTGACCTTGTTTCTGTCTCCAGCTGGGTCTTCTCCCGCAGCCCATTTCTTTGTTTCGTTTCCTCTCTAGTCCTGTGCTTCTAGACCTCTTTTTAAAGCTTCACATTTTCCAAGTGATTTCTGTAGTTAACTTTTTTCTAAAGTATGTTTTTATGCATAGCTTCTAATGTCATCTTCTCCTATCTTAGACTAAAATTCAAATTTACCTATGTCACATTTGTTAAGCTGCCTTGCTGTCATTCATTCATCTTGCTTGTTTCTGAGTGTCTTGTATCTGGTTATCCGGGGTACCACACTTATGCCCTCACTTTCCAATACTTTAGCTCTGCGATCCAAACTCCTAAATTCTGCTTCAAACTTACTTCCCGCTCAATCCCCCAATATGTGGCTTCATGCCTTCCTATCTGTATGACCTTCTCTCCTTCAGGTTTCTCACCTCCTCACCTGTCCCACTTTGTAAATATGATTTTTGTTACATCATGTAGATGGGTGCTGAATATGTCCATTTTTGAGGCAGAACCAAGATGTCACACTTTAGATCCTTCAGCCCCATAGTTTGAGCTGTACTTACATGGTTCCTATTTGTATTTTGTGGGATATTGAAGAAACTACCAACTCACTAAACATATGCTAAGGAAATAATTGAGTTTGGAAGATTACCTTCTCTTAAAAAGTGATTACATATTGTGGAAACATACCAGTGAAACAAGAAAGACTATCTCGTTGATGAATAGCTGGTGTTTAAGAACACAAAGTAATTGCCACGTGTGCAGATAGTTTCTCTCTTTGTCAACTGTTATTGAATTAAGGGAGCTTATCTTAGCCACCTGGAGGAAAGAGATGTGCCAAGTCTGAGGCAAGGAGGAGGTCTTTTTCTCTGTACATAGTCAGTGCCTCTGAAATCATTAGGTACTCGGATTATTACAAGGTAAACCAAAATAAATAAATAAAGAACAGAAGAAAAACTACTAAATGATGATTGAGTTTTCAAACCTCTAACTGTGACATATTGTTTATGATATTCTAAGCAAATCAGTCAGTTTTTATAGTGTCTCTCATGGACCTTGTTTTATAAAGTTATGATGACTTTTCCTAAGAAATAGTTTGATTCCTTTCCATAAATCTCTTCAAGGTACTTAAGAGTCCAATTTGCTTTCTTGAGGCTGGAATTTTCAACCACAAGTGATTATAGGTTGCCACATTATAAACGAGGTTAGTTTGATGAGTAAATATTTTCAAATTCAGAGAAATGTGATTCAGCACTTCCTTTAAATGAGAAATACGTGTGGTGACTTTTAGTGTGGCCTTTGTTACAGCCATGCGTACTAAGTGTCCTACACACTGACTAAAGAACATTTGGTCAACCCACCTGACACCTCTTTGCAGACTTCATTAAAATAGGCGTTTAAAAAAATTAGCAATTCCCAGAAAAGGTCAGTTAAATATAGAAGACTGTAGACTGCTCCAGGCAACATCAAAAAGATCCAGGCAATACATTTTCTGAAATGTAATTGAGTTATAGGATATCACACTAATGAAGAGTTCGGTTATTATGTCTTTTGCATCTCGGTTATATTTCTACGTCTTATTTCTGAGGCCTCTGCTCCAGCCTCCCTAAGACAGGAAAACAAGTCTATTCTTTATGATTACAGAGTACTCTTTTATCACGAGTTCATGCCAACTGATAGTTTTTATAGCCTGACAAGGGACCAAGTCATCATCACCTGGAGGGAACCACTTAAATCATTTGAAGATGGCTCTTCTGCTCTGAAGGGAACCAGGAGACGACTGTCTCACGGTCGCTCTCTCCCCAGGTGGCAAGGGTTAGTGTTGTTGAAGAACTGACAGATTTTTCCCTCAGGGTGGGTAGACTAGATTGGAAAATACATAGGAGGGGAGTTTGTCAAGAAAATTCAGGGAGCAGAGCTGATGCGGTCTAAAGGGGATTCTCACCTGCTCCCTAGATTGGATCAGAAATGCTTATGTTTTATGGACTTGTACAAGTGTGCGGAAGACAAAGAAGAAGCGAAATAACATACATAGAAAGAGAAAGGAGGAGAAGATGTGAGAGGGAGAGATATCCGGAGGGGCATAAAACTTCATGGTTTGCCAGCTCATTTGTTGAGATGATAATAACATTCTCATCTGAGGAACAAGTCCTTCGGGGAATTGAGACTTTATTTTTTTAAGAGGGTGCTTTAAGGGTGATTGACTAATGGGGTGAGAATATTACATTGCATCAAGGTTCCAGAATTAAAGGGAATAGTTTTAGTGTTAAAAAGTGGAAAATCACGGATGAGTTGCTGGACGGGCTGCTGCAGGACGGTGCAAGTTGGATGAGGGCTGTAGGGTTCTCTCTTTGAAGAGGGTACCCCGGGTGCGTGCTTTGAGACGTCACAGTGAATCTCAGCCGCAGATACCATTGATGTGCATTAATAAAAGTTAAAGAGACACCTTGGAGAAGGTGCTATTGCAGTATGTGCATTTGTAAGAGTGGCAGAGGGGGCTATGTAGGCACAAAGGAGTTTCCACTAAACCTAGACTATCATTTATACTTAACCAGTCTCTGTGTGTGACTCACCACACAGTGTGAACTGGTGACTTCTAGAAGCTAACTTAAGGTTTACATACAGGTTTGGGATCTTCCTGGCTTATGGCTCATTACTTGGATTGCTTCAGGTTGATTACTTTAGGCACATTTTGTACTGATTGCATTCTATATTTATTATAATGGTAGTTCTCAGCCTTTCTAATTTAATATTTTATCACTCAAAATATATTAACCACATATCCTTTCTTACATATAGGTGCATATAACTATATCTGGCCTCTCTCAAAAATGGATATGACAAAAATATTGAGCCAAACCAAATCAACACTGATGGCTCCCAATGTCTTTCAGCAGACACAGTTTTGAACTGTTCTACATACACACACACACACACACTTATTAATATATGTTATCCACACACATACATATATACTAATTTTTATTGTATGTACTTTATATGCACATAAAATACATATGTCCACACTAATTATTTAAATCTCAAAACTATCTCACTCAATGGAACTGTTGGTAACTCTATGTTAAAAGAGAAGACAAGAAGAAATGAGAGGTCTTATCCTTTGTTCTGGTAAAACTGTTAAAAAAAAATGTAACAGAGATAAAATTTGAACCCAGAAAACTTGATAGTTTCACATTTCCTTCACTTCGGCTGTGAAGCATTCTCACTTGATTTAGTTCAGTAATCACCTATGGTACCTGTAGATTCTATTTTCATTTGAATATTTCTTAGTGTGGGTGTCCTTATATTACCAGATCAAGGGATTTTGAGTATAATTACCGTGCTTCATTAAGTTTGTCGTGTACCACGTTCACAAAAGTATTTATTCCTCCTAATTACAGACTGTTTTGTTCTGTCTGAGGGATTTTCACTTTGAAGTAGTAGGTTTTGGTCCAAAAATCATGTAGATGTATAAAACATGGAATTTTCAGCCTATAAGTGTGATATGATTTTATGTTTTTCTTCTTGAATGTTTTCCAAGTAGAATAGACTGAACGAAGTGAGCTATTCTTGATTGACACATGACACTGTGAGAATCACACTTGTTGAAATTCTTTCCTTTTCAATACCTTTTCCACAGGGGGCTGCTTTAATTAGAATGCTGGCTAATTTTATGGGCCATTCGGTTTTTCAGAGGGGTTTGCAAGTAAGTAACATGCTTTCTATTTCCTCTGACCATTGTTTTCTTGTCATGATATTTATTTTCATGTTAATTCACATTTTGGGAAATTACTAATATCAAATTGTTTCTTTGATGAGAAATTTAAGAAATGCTAGGTGGGCTCAGTCCTCCAGTATGACGAAGAAGAAAATCCAACACAGGACACATGGTGTAAGGTCTGTCCATTCTCAAACAGGTAGACAGTTTAGAGGCATTTAATTGGCATTGACAAACTGAACTAAGTTTTACCGAACTTCAGAAAACCCGCTATTATTTCCTGTCATTGAGATGCTTACGCAATATGAAAACAAATTGTTGGCTTTACTAAAATTACATAATTGAGAACACTTTGTGCCTGCTTCTCAGTTATGTACGGTCTGTTTTGTTTTATTATTGGTGTACAGAGTTGCTGTTCGTCTCAGTGAAAATAAAATACTTTTATTTGAAAGAGATGTGAATCATTTTAAAAGAAAGGAGATAATCATGTGTTTTTCATTTTGTTGTTATCTCTTCGAAGCCCGTTCTTTTCTAATGTGAGCAAGAATTGTAGTGCATATGAAGAGGAGGAAAAGTGGGAAGGAACTGGGAGGAGCAGAGGGAAGGAGAACTGTAATCAGGATATATTGTATGAGGAAAAAAAAATCTATTTTCAATCAAAGGGAAAAAAGAAAGAAAGAACAGTTGTATATAACTGCATTTAGGGTAATGAGCATGAAAATGTAAGAATGGATTTGTATAAAACAAATTATTAAAGATGGAGAGCAGATAAAACAATAAAAAATTAGAACTTTGATTCCACTGAATCTGCTAGAGTAAATCACTCTCTTAGTCACTGTGATTGATGAATTATTTATGATGCATTCTGCTACTTAGAAGTGTCCTTTAAAGTAAATTGATGTTCACCTGAAATACAATTATGCTAAGACAGAGGGAGCAATCAATCTTATCTGTTCTTAGTAAGCTTTTCATTTTGAAATTTAAATAAACTGCAACTGGGATTGGGTCATATTTTTGGTAGTAGAATTCTATCTTTATCAAAAATAAACTGAAAGATAAAATACAAAGGCAAGAGTAAAATTTGATATGAAAACCACTAAATTTAACACAACAAACGAAGGGAGCATATACATTTACTGAAGAACGATTTTCCTTATAAACTACTCTTGCAGATTAGTTTTAGCAGGCTTCGAAATTTATTTTTATCAGCCCTTTTCATTACAAACGCCCTCAGAATACCTGAGTCCATTGAACGTATTTGCTCAAGGATGTAGGTTCTGTTTGCTGAGGGATGAAGACTCCATTCGGATCACATAGTCGAGAAAACCTTTTCTTTTCTCCCTTTTCTTTTCTTTTTGCTTCACCTCAAAGAATGCCCTCCATGAATATAAACTATCTGGAGAAATGGCCTTCCTTATCCCCACTGCTTTGTTTTCCCCATCGAATTTGTAACAAGACAGTTTCAGAAAATATCTAAGTTTCCATGAGGTCAATATAAATTTAATTTGAATTCCTGTTGGCAAACTGATATGAAATCATTTTCTGCATGCAATTCTTATTATTTCTCTTCAACTTTGTACATATATATGCTCATCAGATTGAGTGACTTTAGTATGTTATTTGGACAGTGTTTTTACAGCCTTTTCCCGTATCCTGTCATGTTTTCTATGGTATACAGAACATATTATTTTGAGTATATCTTAAAAATCGGTTTTGCTGACTCTGCCTCGTCAGTTTTGTCTGAAATTGCCAAAAAAAAATGAAATAAACTTTTATTGGAAGCTAACGATAATGCACAATTCTGTGCTTTAACACTTGATTTTTGTTAATTTTCAAGCAAGGGAGTCTATGTTTGTCAACACTGCATTTCATTTGCCTCGTGACATCTCATTGATCAGGTGGATCTGCATCCTTCAGTGCTTGGTCTGCAGCTTCATTTATACTTATCACTCAAACTGATTTAGTGTATCATCAGCAGTTTGGATTAGTTGACACTAGATCCTTCTGTCTGGGTGATAAATTATCATCTCTTGTGCATGAAGATGTATGGGGTGCATTTTGGAGATGACCTCCTGAACAGACACTTCATGTCATGGTGCTGAGTGTTGGGAGAGTTCATATTAATAAGCTTGCCATTCACAAGGCTCTGGAGAGCTTTACTTTACAAGTTGTTGAAAGGGCTATTCTGGGATGTCAGCATTTACCTCTGAGTAAAATCTATTCATTGTTTTTACATTAACCATGGCTATTTCTATGTTGACAAATGAAAGTTTATTGTTTTCAAATAGATTATGTTCATATTTACTGGTTCAGGCAACCCCAAACTGCAAATGAGGTGCATTTTCATATGCTTCTATTCCTTCTTTCCTTTCTTTCTCTTTCATTCTTTGTGCATTAAATTTTTTCACCATGTACTCAAATAATTCCCTTAACTATGATATGATAGCAAGCTATGATATCAGCTTCTTCTTTTTACTATCTAACAAAATGTGTGTTCCTGTTTTCTTCATGTCTGTATGGGTTATTCCACACTCTTTTTAAGAACAAGGCAAAAATATTTACAAATGTGCTATGTGTAATTTATCTAGTAGATTTCTAGGTCAGTTTATATATTCATATATTTCTCAGATAATATTTGAATAGAGTTTCAACAATATTTTCATATCACATAGTAATTTGTGTGGCAATATGTATTTTAAATTTCAAACTGAAGATATATCACAGCAGGCAGGGATTCTGAAACTTTTGGAGAAAAAAAAACCTGTTGTGGAATATTTGATTGCACGTGAAACTCTGAGACTGAATTAATAAAATTAATCTTGGATCGGGGGGCGGAGCCAGTGAGTAGCTGACAGGAATTAGGCCTAGGATGGAGGAGCTAGGAATACAGATAGAGAGACTCACAGGGAGGAGAAGTGAGGGGCTTAGAGATTCCTGAGTCTTTTTGGCTTGGGATGGAAAGAAGAAATGTTCTCTTTCTGGGTCTCCAGTCAAAAGGGAAGGTCATCTGGTTGCTTCTTGGCTGTTTTGATCTAGGAGGTTTTCACACCCTCATCTAACTGCTGACTCTTTACTGGCAAATAGAACAATAGAGTTTAGGCCTACAGTTGGCATCTGCAGCCAAGCTGGTGTGATGACTGGCGAAATGCCTGCGGGCCACAGCGAGTCTTTATATATCAGTAGATTGAGGAGCAGTTGCTAAGCTGACAGAAAAACGATGGAAAACTTTTGTTTTTATTCATTATATAACCTATAAATAAGCTATCCGTCAGCAAGGAGAAAAATTAAATGAGTAAAAATGTCCAATTGCAAAGAAAGTTTTGATGTTTTTGAACTTCTTATTTCTTTTAAGTTTACTTAAATGTTTAAATTGTTTAGTTTTTCATGATTTTTTTAAACAAGAAATTATCTCAGACCTCTTCTTTAGTAAACAAATTGTATTCATAAGTTTAGATTAGTTGATAATTTAGCTAATTATGTTTGAATTGAAAGTGGAACATGCCAAATGAACCTAATTTAAACATTTTGTTTTTGATTTTATGTATCATTCATAAATAATATATTTCAAGACACAGAAATGATTATATTTTTGCAAGCTCTACAAATCTCCTGTTAAATATAATCCATTACACAAAATGATAGCAGGCAGTTTGTGGGAAGCTTCAGGCAAAAGAATAAGTGGTGAGAAATAATTCTCATTTCTCTTAATTAATATTCAACCTCCTCCAAGCCATGACATCTCTCTTGGCCTCCCACCTTATTGCAACACTGAAGTTTCAAGACTTTTTCCATCTTTTATGGTTTCTAAATATAGGATTTATTTAGGACGGTTGATCAGTTAGGCAATTTAATTTGATATTTCTTAATTTGGGACAGCTTTTTTAATTTGATGGAAGCACCCCATTAGCCGCATGTACAAAAGTGGCTTTCTGTCCTGGAACTTCCCGGGGTCTGCTGAATGTTGTACGGTGTGGCCATCAGTGTGTGCAGTAACGCAGCCATACCAAACTAGATGGGTATCTGCCGCTCTGTTGCAGCTTTTGCTATTAACGCATTTTACTTTTCTGGTACGAAAACCAACCTATGTTGTCTTGGGGTTTAAACCAGTTATTTACTTTCCTGCTTTGTTACCCCATATATTTAGTATTTTTTGTGATAATCTATGGTTGTCTTGCATGATATTTGCTAAGGGCTTTTTGAAATTTCTTGATGATTTCTATAGCGTCTGTTATGTCATAATTTACAGTTGTTTCCCCTTAACTGTGGAATTGACTCTATTTACAGTGTCCTGGAGGTAGTCTTTGAGGAGAATTAGCATTCCCCTTGTTGAGTGTTACTATAGGGAATTCAGACAAGGGAGGGACTTACCTTGTCAGGTAGGAGAGCTGTTTTTAACACCAGGCAGAACTCGGGGGATTTAGACCTTTGAAGCCTGTGTTCTAATTCTGCTTGCCATTTGGCTTCCCTTTTGTACACCATTCTTCATATAAACACAATGAACACATGTATTGCTCTCATCCTGCTATCCCTTATCAATGCTGCCTCCTTTAGAAATCTAACAGACAAACCCTTGTCGATAGCTTTCTTTAAAGAGGTAGATCCGTTTCTTAAAGGGCTAGCACTTATCATAGCTAAACCAGCTTCAGTTTTAATGTTCATATTGAAAATAGATCTTGGAGAAAATCAAATACAAACTTTTCTGTTGTCAGATTATGTCTTTCAGTTACAAATAGTATGTGTTCATGATGTAGAAATGTACATATTTTTCAGATTCTGCATACTTACACTTCTCTGTCATATATTCCATAAAACTCAGAGCAATATTAAAATCATTCTATTTAGTTTAAGAAGAGATGGATTTAACGTTGTGTGCAATCGTTTCACAATGGATATAAGAGAACAAGTCAAGAAGTTTCCAGGAAGTCAGTAGCTTTTGTATCACATGTAACTAATATGCACTTGTCACAATATCCATATCGTCAATATTA